TATAAACTTGTCGTAGTGTCGGGCACGTTATGATACAAAATGGGCACCCTTTTTTTGTTGCGTGTAGCTGTGTGCGGTGTGCGATGTGTGTGTGGTCGTGAGACGTCGGTATTAACAATGCGCGAAAACGAGATTGAAAGGCACTGGAAACGTTTTGACGGGCGGGCATGGTGACTTTCGCTTTGATGATGCTGAATGTTGGGGTCCATGGCGAAAAAAAGAATGCAGTTATGTGCGTAGTGAGAAACCCACAATAGTAAACGTATAGTCGCGAGGTCGAGTAGATGAGTAAATGCTTTTTACGAGTCCAACATCGAAAGACGTTTACTCATCAGCCTCTCCCTTTCTCATTCTCTCGTTCCACTTCCGCTTGCCGACACGCGTCTCAAAGTGAGGAACGAGCGTCTTGACATCCTGCATGATGGATTCAATGGCAGTACGGGTCTTGTTGCGGTAGCAGTCCACTATAACTCATGTCAGCCCGATCTCTGTTTCGTACTCGACACGGAAAAACTTACGAGCTCTCTGGAGGAAGACTGTCCGTCCCGCAAAAACTCTGCTCTGCAGCCAGGCCATGCGGTATCCGAGGTCGTTGAGTCGGACCTCCTTGCCTCGGACACTCTTCCTCATGCGGGGAATGGCGACCTCGCCTTCGGTGTTCTCGCCAATCGGAACCTTGACCATGGACTTGCTGTTTCCACGGCCTCGGCGGGAGCTACGGCCCTCGGTGTCTTCAACACCATCGTCCTCCTCATCGGCATCCTCCTGGAAGAACTTGGTGCCGGTGGCAGACGGCGGCGGGCTCTGCATCTCGCGTGGGAAGTACGACCGCGGGAAGACGGAAGCGCCCTTGCGGAAGGAGTCGGGAATTTCCTTGGTATCGACACCGTCGAGCGTGACTCTGACACGCAGACGCGAACCGCGGACATTGTCCTCGACGAGAATGAACTTACGCTTCTTGGCCTCGGGGATGTTAGGGAACAAATCCTCGGGCTCGCCGTTGTCGCTGCGGCTGTGGCGACGGGCAGAAATGGCGCCGGCATGGGAGCTGCTGCCCATGTGCGGCATCGAGCCGGAGCTGGATGCCGGGTAGCCTCCGTGACCGCCGTAGCTTCCGGAAAAGACCTGCGACTGTCTGACGTCGCCGCCCTCCTGGCCAGCGGGGGCCTGGTGGTGGTGATGGTGTTCGTCCATGTATTCGCCATCGCCTATTTCAAGACAGCAAATGTCAGTCAACGTTACAATGAAGAAAGATTGGAAACTGGTTTCGGGAGGACGTATGCAGACGAGCGGAGTGTGGGAGGGGTAAACATGTTTGATCGACAACCCTGACAACACAAGCCAACGGCAACGCGAAACGCTCAAGACGACAAAGGGAGGATCGGGATGGGTTTGTTGCTTTTTTTTTTCCCTGGAGGTACAAGAGTGGCATAAGAGTAGGTCTTTGGGACAGGCAGGACGATTTTCTCTTTTACGAGAAAAAAAGCCCCCCTCTTTCATCCAAAGCCATGCTATTGGGACGCAGAAGGATTGGGGATGGAATGCCAAAAACGCTAAGCAATGCGACTTTTTGCCGATGTCTCTTCTAAGAGGCATCGCATCTTGTTGCCCGACAAACTCGGGTCAGGTGACTAACGACAGCAACAGCAGCAACTGCGTGCAGCGCAACTATGGTAATGTACAGATCTGTGCCGTAGAGAAAAGGAAATCCCTCTCGACCCGCGGCGAGCTTTGCTGTATCGTGGTGGCAAGTTGCTTTGATGCGGCCGAAAAAGCCCGGCGCTATACAACAGGAGGAGCGCAAGGAAAATGACAAAAAAGTGCAACGAACCCATTCCCGAGACGTCTGACCAACTAGCAGAGTAATAATGTAATAAAGGCACAGAGGTAAAAAATTTGTATGTGTTTGGTGGTGATGAAGCTCGTGTCCGCTCTAGGATCACGGCCGACAAGACTTGGTGATGATGAAAAGGGGGGAAAGGTATCACATAATCAACGATCTTTGGGGGTTGTGCCGGGCAGTGGTGTGTATGTGCGATGCAACGACAATCAACAACAAACAACGACTGGGCTCGCAAACGCTGCAGATGCGGAGGGCTTCTTTAATCACATCTGGTGAAACATACCGACTTCATCCCCTCCACCCGGAGCGTTGGTGTGCGGCATATGACCCATGTTCATTCCAGGCATCTTGGCTGATGCACCCGCGGGGCCCATGCCACCAGCACCTTGAGCCATCCCTGGCGGACTGGGGCCGCCCATGTGAGCAGGGTGAGGGCCGCCCTGAACCGATTTCCGGGTGTTCATCTTGGCCATTCGGCGCACTCTTCGGCTTCGGAGCCGGGGGTCTTGGTTGCTGTTGCGCCAGCTGTCCACGGCGCGCTGGATAAGACCTCTCTTGCCGCGCAGAGGAGGGTTCAGCTGAGCAAGAGCCCATCCGACCGTATTGCACTCGGTCTCGTATACTTGGCGATTGCCGCGGTATTGGTCCTTGGGGCAACAGGCTCTGGGGTAAACGCAGTTCTCCGTCTTGAATTCGGCCGAGAGCTCGTCCGTGTTGACCGACTCAACATCGCAGCGGATGGTGTACTCCATCTTGACACGGTCGCGAGAGTACTCAAACGCGATCCATTGAACACCGTTCTGGTCTTGTCTTACAACCAAAGGCGTAGTGGCCGGAATGGGTCCAGGCGCCGCATTGGGGTTGACACCGCCAGGAGTCGATCCTGTGGGGGTGTTGAGAGCAGCGCCGTTCTGAGGGTGCTGCTGGTGTTGCATGGGAGTCGTCTGAGGCTTCTGGAGCTGCAGCGGCACCTGGGGCTCTGTCTTCATCTGGCCGCGGGGGCTGTTGGTCATCTGGGCCTGGTGTTGTTGCGCCTGGTGCTGGGGCATGTGTTGCTGCTGCTGCTGGGACTGCGCAGACATCATCATGTTGGGCTGCGAAGACATGGACTGGTGGGTCTGGGCCTGGTGTTGCGCGTAGGGAGACTGTTGGGGTTGCGCCTGCATCGACGGGTAGTGGGCTTGCGGCGTCTGGTAGTACATGTGCTGCTGGAGAGGTTGAGACGGCGGCTTGCCGTAGATGCTTCTGTGCTGGTCATGTTGGGAAGGCGAGGCTACCGACGCGGGCGAGTTCGACTGCGGTGCGTGGTAGGACATGGGAGGGTAAGGTGGTCTCGGCATTTGGGCGGCGGCCATCATGTCGGATTGGTCTGCTATCCAGTGGTCAACGGTTATGAACTTTTGAAGCTGTCTCGAGGGAGCAAGTTGTCGCGAGAGAAGAGAAAAGGCAGCAAAAGACGCGTCTTTTTCTCAGTGTCTGGCGCGTCTTTTGCGCGCGTCTCTCTTGTGGCAGGCGCAGACACATAGACACACGCAGAGCAAGGTAAGGATAGCAAAAGAAAGAAGGAAAACTCACCAGCGGATGTGTATCCGCTTGTCGCGCCTGGGGTGCTGTAGGGACTCGGATGCGCGTAGTAGGGAAGTCCGTCCTGGGAGTGCTGCTGCTGGGCGTTGGAGGGCTGGCTCTGCTGCTGCTGGTAGGCGGGAGCAATTGGGTGTCCGGCGGAGGCGTAGGAGGGATGCTGCTGCGACTGGGCCTGGGGATGATGCTGTTGATGAACAACGCTCGAGGGTCGAGGATGTTGCTGGTGCTGCTGCAGATGTTGCTGCTGCTGCTGTGTAGGTGCGTGACCCTGGGGCTGATGGTGGGGGTGATGCTGCATAGAGAAAAGACCCATTAGTCCCTCGTCCAAGAAACGCTTCGACGTATTAAGTTGACTGGTGACAAGCAAGAAGGAGGAAAAAACAAAGTGAGGCAAGGCAAGGCGCGGCGCGTCTGTATTTTTATTTTTTGCACCTTGACACTGTCAGGGGACTGGGGGCATCCAGGTGCAGGCAGGTGCGTGTGGTGAGAAGTGGTTCCTTGCTGCCCCTAGGAGTCCTGGGAGTCGACGAGGGTCAGGCGGGTGAGGCGTGCTAGACCCAGTTCGGGACCCCTTTCTGATAAAAGAAAATGTGGATATTCTTTTGGGGAAAAGAAGAGGAGCAAGGCAAGGCAGGCAAGGTACGAATAGACAAGCAGCAGGATGGATGGATGGATGGGCTCCAGACCAGATGCAAGGTCGCCGTACTACGGCGCCGCCAGATCGGAGAAGCGAGGGCAGGGGATAGACACACACATACACTAACATACACACCACAGAGAGTGCGAGTGAGCTGCAAGTGGAATTGTGTACAAGCTGGGTAAGGATGATCTGGGAACAAGATGGGAGGGGCGGATTTTTTTGGTTTACCCCTGAATAACTACCCAAGCAAAGTAGCGAGCTTCGGGTAAAGAGAGAGAATGGGCAGGTACTGCGACGAGGATACTCGGAAGCGGAACCCGAGTGGTTTCGAGAATGCGATGGCCTGGCTCTGGCAGATTTGCGCGAATGGGGCAGAGAGACGAAAAGATGAAGGATGTGGGATGAGTGGGAGAGGTATACGGAGAAGCGGTACGAGTAGGTGAAGAAAGAGTAGGGGTGTAGAGTGTAGATGAAGTACTCGAAAGAGTAACAAGAGGGTTCTTCTCCTTCGACTTAGACTGCGGTCCTGGTTCCTACTGCGGGTTCTTCCCAAGCTTGGTTTGGAGACGCGACAGGAAGGCCAAAAGGCAGAAAGAGACGATGGATGGTGCAATGAGATGACAAGGGAGTATGAAGGACGGAGGAGAGATGGCGATCGGAGCGAGGGTGCAGCAGGAATATGGGCAGCCGAGGGGATTGGGCGAGTGAGGGTACAAGAGAGGAACAGGGTAGCTATTTGAACATTGGAGCAGGGTAGGATCCAAAGTGGGTAATTATGATGGGGAGTGATATGTCTGGGAATCGGGGAGGATGGGATGGGCAGCAAAGGAAGAGGCAGGGGACGAGACAGGAGGCGTCCGTCTTGGTACGAGAGCTGTTTTCTTTTCCTCTCTCTCACTCGCGCAGAGTGAGTATGAGAGAGAGAAATCCTCTTCACTCTACCGTCTCACACCTCGCACTTGCTGCTCCCGCTCTCACTTGTGAGGCAGCAGCAATGTGAAGAGAAGAGAGAATAGAGGATCCAGGACCAGACAGACAGGCAGGCGTACACACGATCAGCCAGCCAGCCCGCAGCAGCCCAACCGGGGGTGAAAGCAAAAATGGGAACGCAATAGCCAGAGCCAGACCAAAAGCAGACGATACAGGAAAGCAGAGTGTCAGGGGGGCGCAGACGCGGTGGAGCTTGATACGGCACCGGTGCGGCTTCTTGTTCGGGGTAGAGAGAAAGTGCAATGTAAGGTAATACAAGGGGGGGCAATATAATGGCACGGTACCTCGAGACCTTGGACCCGATGCGAGGTTACGGCACGACGAGAGTCGAGATATCGACGGAGATGGCGATGTCGACGGCAATGCCCTTGTAAGCGCGCTACCAAAGCCGTGGGGCAAATTGGAGGCGAGACGACGAGGGCATACCATAGTATGCGCGTGTACACACACCTCTAGCCAGGCCCAGGGTCGGGAGGATATATCCGTGTATATCTCGACGTCAGAGAAGAGATGTGTGTAGGTAGGTGTATGTAATAGGGAATGCGGTTGAAGTAAAGACAGAGCCAGAACATACTCAACAAATGATATGCGCCACCCAAGCAACGACGTGCGAAAGTGTGTGAGAGGCAAGGTGAAGAAGCAGGAGGCAGAATACAATAAAGCAAGAAAGCAGGCAATAGCAGCAGCAATAGACAGCAAATGCAAAACAGAGCAATAAAAAATTGTCAGGGTTTTGAACGTACGTGCGCGCGCGTGTGAATTCGCCTTCGGGTCTTTGCTACTCGGTAACTTGTGCAGGAAAGGACAAGAGGCAAAGTCGTTTACTAGTAACGGCGGCGGCGTCGTCGGCGGCGGGAGGTAGAGAGGTAGGTAGAGAGAAAGAAGAGAGAGAGATAAAAGTGCACCAATGAGTGAAATCTTTTCGGTTTGGGCGTACGCAAGTAGTAGTCCCATACAAGAGAGAGCAAGACTGAGAGAGAGAGAGAGAGAGCTTCTCGATGCTTTTCTTGCTGCGACTTGCAGAGAGGTCCCAGAGCAAGAGCAGAAGCTGCGCGTGGGAGGACGGACAGGGGATAATAACGACCGGGGAGGGCGTGGGTGTTGGGAGGAGAAGGCAGGATTGGCGGTGGTGGTGGTGGGCATGGACGAGGGCAAGGAAGATGAGGAAAGGACGCAGAAGACGTGAAGATGGGACAAGAGGGGCTGGTGTCGTTGTGAGAGAGAGAAAAAAAGGCAAGGTAGGGGCGTGAGGGTATCATGGTGAGCCTTACTTTGCGACTGCCTCCTCTCTCTCTGTCTCCAAGTTCCAACGTGCGTGGAAAAGAGCCGGGAGAGAGGAGAGAGAGTCAGAGACAAGGTGAAGGCGAGGTGTACATGACCTTACGCAGTCAGGTAGGTAGGTACTGGGTAGTGTTGGAGAGGAAGGAAAGGGGGCGTGTGCGCAGTACGGCAGACAGGCGGGATTTGCTCTGGGTGTGTGGTGTTGGTGTTGGTGTGTGAAGGTGTGGTACGTACTGGGAAAAGAATAAGAAGGGGAAAAAAAAGAAAAGAGGAATAAAAAGGTGCAGGTGGGGTGTAGGTGGAGTGGAAATAGATAGAGGGGCGTGCGAGTGCTGAATAGGGTGTATGGGACAGCGCATGGAAGAAACGTGACAGGGGTCTCTTGCATTGTAGATTAAATGGCCAATGGCGGCACGCGCTTGCAGGGCCGGGCAGGGTCAACTACCCAATCAGGCATCTCTCATCCGGGGCTAGCCAGCAGACCAGCATACTACCGGGATGCCGCCGCGGGCCCTCAATCTTGCTTTCTCTCTCTCTCACTCTCTCTCAAGTCTCTATTTTTCTCGTGTGTACCGCAGTACTTTCTCTCTCTCTCTCTTGTGTGATGATTTTTCACTCATCTCTCATCTCTTTCTCAAAGGACCATAGTCTCTCATCCACTAGGGCGACAGACCGCAACTGTGAAAAACACGACTCCAGAAGCATGGCGTCTGCAACTTTGCTTGCCTGGCCCCCCTGGTCGTACCTTTTTTCCAGCCACCGACCCCCAAAAAAGAGGCTTCCCACTTTCAATTCCCGGGTTCCCTCCTCACCCTGTCCTCACCCCCGGTCCTGGCAACATCTTGCACTTGTTTGGCGCAAGGCGGTGTGGGAACCCATGAGGCGGAGACAGTCTGTGTGTGAGAGAAAGAGAGACGAGGGAAGAGAAGTAGGTAAGTAAGTACTCTCTGTAACGGCCCTGGGAAAATGTGCCTGCGGAGACCCGGCTTGTGTGGGAGCCCTGGCACAGTCACTCCCGCGCTGTCGTTGGCATGTTCCCCCCGCGTTTGCTGCTTGACCGTTCCTGGCCTCCTGGTCCGGCTTCGAATGCCTGCTGCTGCTAATGCGCTGCTGGCATCTAGAATGGAGTGAGGTGGTGGGCATATGGGCATGGCACTCGCACTGGCACTTGAGACCTTGCCGCTGGCCCATGTATCACCCACGTCCCAGGCACAACCAGGAACCCGGAGCTCTGCTTGCCCAGCACTGCGGGAGCGCCGTACTCAGTACTCGCTGCAACAGGCGCCTGACAAGCCTGCCCCGAGGTCATCGATACGTTCGTTTCGTCCCCCAAAACCAGCTCAGAGAAGATGACGGGGGACGCGTTCTGGCTGTCTTCACCCTCGTCGTTCAACGTTGGTTTGGACTCTCCACAACTAGCGGCAGCACAAGTCACCCTCGCCGCCCTTGCCCCCTGGTGGGAATAATGGCAAACGATTGTACTGTGGTCTGCAGGCCTTTTGCCCATCTTCTCCTCCTTGCCGGCGCGCGGGTCGAAACAAGAACAACCGGCGATGACAGACGTTGCCTCTCTTGCCAATCATCCACCAGATTCCCGATTTCCGCCCCCTATCAATGCGCAATCGATGGGGGAGAGTGAACTCAGAACTCGCGCAGATGTTCCCTCCAACAGCAGCCGATTCCGAATCATTCTGGCAAACGAACAGAGTGATGAATGCATCGGCTAGGTCAGCACCGACCCCCCATTGCCCCCCCCCCTCCCAATTGCTCAGCCACCCGTCATTGGGGAAAGCTGATGGCAGCCCCCACCAAGAACGTGTGTCGCAGAGCAAAAGAGAGAGAGGGAGATAGAGGATGAGTGCACCCCACCCGGACGCCTCCAGATCTCCACAATCGTCACCTCATCTTCATCTTGCTTTTGCCAGGGAAAGGCCCGTCAGAGCAGTACACCACTACGAATACCTCGACTCGAGTGTGGTTGCCGTACATCCACAGACAGAGCTCATCACCTAGAATGAGCTCTTCCTTCAGCCGATTTCTTTCGGCTAGCTTGTGGAATCTCTTTTCTTTTTCTCCTCGCTCTGACGTGTACATTATGACAAGAAGGAGCTCGTGACACTCCCGTCTTCAAAGTCCACGTGAGTGGGTAGGTAGGTAGTCGGGAAAACGGGCCCAAGGAAGAGGACAGTAACGAGGGGGAGGCGCACAAAGTACACGCTTTCTTTCGCGCGTCCCATAGCGTAGCTCAACCTCACTAAGGCTTAAAAAGCTGAAAGGTCGGTACCCGTTGTGCTCGAGACAACACTAGGCATCTAGACAGGCCCGGGAAGCCGTTGGCCGCCGTTTTGCCCTGCGTGGTGTCCCTCATTTCCAACGAACCAGCCACCTCTTGGCTTGGTGCCTGCGCCATCGAGTCTCGCCTTGTCACCACCACCTCCATTCAGCGTGAGAGGGAAGACGACGAACAACATGAGGAAACATAGTGATACAGACAGACAACGCAAATCCAAAAGCCAGCAACAAGAGGAATGTCGCGATTGCTGCGGCTCGCAAGGGGTGCGCGCCAGAGAGGCAACAGGCTGCACCTCCGCGTGAGACCCCGGTCAACGGCGCGCGAAGACTCGACCGTACTCCGTAGAGGGCAGAACCACGAACGTGTCTCTGGGAGCTTTCCCAAGGTATCCAATGTTCACCCAGCCTCCCGGAGCTTGAACCAGGTTGGGTAGCACTCACCCTGCCCTGCCCTGCCCAACCCCGGCTGGTTTGGTCTGGCTGCCCACGCCTGTCCCCTCACCCTCTCTCCAACTTTCCTCTCCCCCAACTTCGACGAGCGAAAATGAAAATTCAAGATAAAATAAAATCAAAGTGGTGCAAAAGGGAATAGCGTCGTAGTACACTGGTCGGGAGGTCCCACTCATGCAAATGGAGCCTGCGACGGCCCCGGTCATTGGTGAAACAGGAGCCACCCTGCCAATCTCACAGACTTTTTGGATTCCTGACCTGGTCAAGCTTGCGACAGCGTTGCCATCTTCTGGAAGCCACGGGAATCCCAGGAAACTCATCTTGCCGACGCCAACTGTGCGCGTAGCTCAAACCCTATCCATGTTTGACCTCTTCTGCAACTCCCGCTTGAGAGCTTCAGTCGAGGTCCGTGGGGACCGCCTGTCACGACTCGCCGTCCAAGCATGTAGCCGAGTGACGAGTCTTCCGGCAGCTAGGGCCAGCAAGCGTTCAAGCTGAGGCAGACACCCTTATGCGCGACCAACGAACTTGAGTAATTGAAATGGGGACAAGGGGGAAAGCAAAGGAGAACGACTTCTTTCGGTAACATGACAACCAAACGGAAAGGTTTGTAGAATAATGGAAAAGGCGTGACTTACGTGATCAGGCTCCTGCTTGTAGCCACCCGAGGGCTGCCTGTTCTGCGCCATGGCTCTGACAGTCATGAGTTGATATTGATGTTTCTGTGCGTCTTGGTTAGCCATCTGTCATCTGTAGCTAATGAACCTTGAACCAGGCTCTTCCAGGCCTCCCTGGAATCAGAACAGACTCCAATTCATCCCAACGGGGATGTTCGATGTCCCTTACCAGCCAGGCTGGCATGAGGTGAGATCGCCGAGAGATGGCCCATCCTGATGCCCAACCTTCGCTGAATTCCCCGCACCTCTTGGTGCAAGGTTTTTCCATCAAGTCATCACGGCTGATGGACGCGTGGGCAAGGAAACAGGAATATCCGTGGCAAGAAAGGGAGGTTGGCCAGCGCTTTGCTGGCAAGAAATCGACTGGGAGATGCCTGTTGTTCGCGTACGTACTCACTTTTTTTTGTGCTTAGGTAGACTGGTCTAAATGTCGCGATCGCTGCGTTCCGTGTACTTCAGTTCGTTGCTGGTGCGGGCGTAAGTTGAGCAAAGATTGAACCCGTGATCTTGGGCAGGTGTGTCCGAGGTTGGCGACGTTGTGAAACAAAGATATCCCAGCTTGCTGCAAATCGACTCAAGTCAGCATCTTAAGTGTTTTGTTTTCCCAACTTTGATCGGAGCAAATTCATGCGACCGCGTCAAGAACACGCGACCGGGTCCCAAGAGGGCCCCAATAAAATGGTGACCCTCCCCCCCTGACGGCAATCACACAAGGAGAGAGGCCCAAGGGGGATGCGATGAGTCGTGCAGGCCATGTTCATGCGCAGACTGCAACATGGGACGTTACCGAAATTGAAACAAAGACGCGCTTGGGCGTAGTGTAAGCCCCATACGGATAGGCGCCGAACAGCAACGCCTTCAGATGATGCATCTCGAAATGCAATTTCGGAGCCCATCGGAAATACGACTATTCGTAAAGGCTGAACAAGATTCGATACGCGGCGGGGAGCACGGGAAGCAAAGAAAAGACGGAGATTAAAGACGAAAAATCACGAACCTTTTGGATGGAGAGTTGGACGTGTTAGAAACGCGTTGACGAGCAATGACGGGGGAGTGTCTGCGCCTGTATCTGGATAAGGCTGGCTGAACGAGGGTTACAAGTGGATTCTGATGGTTCTGCAGCGTCTGCTTATAGTGTGTGTGAGTGTGTGTGTGTGTGTGTGTGTGTGCGAGTATAAGTGTGCGTATGTGAGTGTCTGTGTGTGTGTGTGTGTAGTGTACACTTGTGCAGGGGAGGGCAACCCAGTAATGCACGGAATTTGAGGCTGGCGCTGCGTGGGTGTCCTGACCTGGAACGAATGCGGGAGAAGAAGGCTCTGACAGCGGGCTCCCGAGGAAGAAGTCGATGGTTCTTCTAGTCCTTCTGACGGTAGGTAGCGTATCCGTAGGAGGGCTTGATTAGTGTGTCTGCTTCCCTGCTCAAATGGAGCTATGCCTCAACGCTGGCTCGGTCTGTTTGGGTGGTGTGTGACGGGCTCCCAATTCTCCGGGGATGGACCAGGGAGCTGGTCGAACGTTGTTCGCCGGGGCCGTGCGAACGAAATCTGGGATGCGTATGCAGGCCTTGCTGTGTCCCGCTACTGGGGGACCTGACTTGTGCGTCGTTGTTCTACCTGTATTCTGAATTAGTTCATGCAGGCCAGCCTTGCAAAGGCCACAGGCGCTGGCAACGGCGTCTGTCCCTCTCGCAAGGGGAACCAAAACGTACAACTGTCAAGCAACTGGGGAACCTACTTGGAGTGTGCTTTTGTGAAATGCCTGGTCAGGGGTTTCTCGTGCTGAGGAGTGGCTCAAGCTGATTTATGACGCAACACGGACCCTGAAGAAATAGCGTAGGGTAGCTAAGACGCTTGTCAGGCACTGCGAGGAACGAACGGCTTGCTGGGTGTGACTGGGAGGCGTGTGGAAGGACGGGTAAAGCAAGGGAAAGCAGAGTCAAGAGGCAGACGGCGTCATGGAGAGAATGCCGGATATTTAGGCAGAGCCAGGGAGACTCGAGTGATTGGCAACGGGTCCTCAGAGGAATAAGAAAAAAGAGCAAAAAATAGGACCAGCGATAACGCCAATTCCCAAGTAGGTCGACGTCCCTTCAGTTGGCCACTCGGCACATTGATTAAGGAGAAGCTGGGGTGTGATGGGCTGCGTCCAGAGGACGACTATTGGATGATACCGCAGCCCCCCCAAGAGAAATGTGACGAAAGAATCCCGGCTAAATGAATCGGGTGGGCAGGTGTAAGGGGAGCCAGCGAGAAGAGAGGTGTGGACGGAACCGGTCCCCCGGTGGGAGGGTACGCAATACCTAACGAGACAGGCCAAAGGAGCGAAATGCTGAAGAATATCGACGTGATGTGCAGAGCCTAGACCGAAGTTCATCCTCACCGCTCCAACAGCGGGAAATACACCCTGACGGACACCCACAGTATGAATACGGGTGGGTGGAAAGAGTACGGAGGTCCATCGATATCTATGTACATAGGATCCGAGATGCCTGTCAGCCAGCCAAGAAGAGCCAGGGTGGGAGTTGGCAGGCGCCCCGTGGACAGGCGGTGGCTCACTTACCATGAGTCTATGAGAATAAGCTTCTTCGGCATCCATAGCTGAAGTGGCGATGTCAGTATTAGTTTGCGACCTTGCTAAGGTAGCCTAAGGTGGCTTCAACGTCGAAGCCGTCCGGGGGAATGGCTGCGCTTCTGAGCCAGATCTAGAAGCCTGAAATACCCTGCTCCTTACGAGGAAAGGGACGGTATGACCAAGGTAAGCAAAGTACTACCTCAAGGTAGTTTGGTGGACCGTTGCCTGTCAAAAAACACCGGTCACGGTTAGCATTGAACGACCCTTGCCCACACACGAAAATGCCTAGTCGACCCGAACGTCTCACCCTGGGCTTTTGGGGTTGGGGGTTGAGCGGGAGGCAAGGGGGTCAGAAACGGTGCCAACCTCAAAGAACCACGAGGTTGCTCGGACTTCTCGTACTATTGCTTGATGTGCTGCCTTGGAGTGTGCGCAGGAAAACGTTGCTGAATCGCGACACGACGACTATTCCATAGAACGCACAGTTTGGATCTAAGTAACGGCGGCTCCGAGAGACAGTATTCTCAAGCCGTTTCGGTTCTGGTCGAGTTGGAACGTAAGTAGCTTCCAAAGACCAATAGAGCGACTGGCTTGAAATGCTCCTTCGGTGACTGTCCAGAATGCTTGGTGTCACAGGGTCAAGTTCGATTATGCATCAAGTACGATGTAAAAAAGGCGCCGCTTTTTTCACGACTGATTGGATGCAATACGCGCTGTGTGCAATATTCTGCATCCATCTGCCGCGTTTGTGGCAATGTCTTGTCTGATCTTGTTGCTATATCTGCGAGGCGGCCCGGACTCTTGGGTTCTCAGGTCGCAGTCACACTGTACAGCCACAGAGGTGTGTAGTTGTATGCGCGGTCTCTCTTCCCCCCCTTGAGGGTCTATTCGCCATTACACTAGATAGCTGGGGACCTCCCTGGTTGCAGGCCGCGCAGACGTTGGACAGCTAGTGTTCGAGAATGTGACCGGCAAATTGGATGGGATGAATTGCTGTAGAATCTTGAGTTGGCGACACAAAGCGCGCAGGGATAATGGTGGGAGTCTTGGGTTTGATTTCTTGCCTGCTACACGATTGTCATAATCAACATCGTATTGACCTTCCCAAAATAAATTGCGAGAGGTGGACAGGTACAACGGGGATGTCCGCTGGATTTGGACAATTCCAGGAGGAGCAGTGTACAATACCTAGTGGCTGGAGGACTAGACGCAAGCTGAGGGGGGAGCATTGTTCCATGTTGGATGAATCGCGAAGTAGCGGAGGGGTGACATCGGTCAGAAAAGGCGCGATTTTGGCGTGCGCTCCTCCAGTCCGCTTCCTCGTTGACATGCCACATTTCGCTAGGGCCCGCCCACATCGATCTGCCAGCTCATATTGCGCAACATCAAAGACGGGCGGCTAGCGAAGCAGACGGAACGTCTCGAGAATATTGCGTGGGTGGCGTGAGATGGCTCATGACAAGCATCAGGGTAGACGAGTTCTAGAGAACGAGACTACTTAGATAGGTAACGGGGCCACGGTAGAATCTGAAGTGTGGGAGGGGACGCCATGGCGCCGTCTGGAGCTGTAACTTGGGAGAGAAACAGCACGACTCACACTAGGGAATGGTGTGTGGAGAAATCGAGTCGAGGTCACCTGGAGACCTAGCCTGGAGACCAACAAGCTATGTTTCAGTAGCAGAAGTGGCTCGTCGGGTCGTCCTTCTTTCCGTTTCGTCTCGACTCGTCTAGAAGGAGAGGAAGAAGAAGAGTGCAGGCCAAGTCAGTCCAGGGATATGTCTTGCTTGTTGTTGTGTGTTGTACTGGTATGAGAAGACAGATATGCGACGAGACTATGACGAGCTCGAACTGTCGGCCGGGGCGAACAAAGTTTAGACGGCGACTTGTTGGTGCTGCCATAGTGTTTGAGGATAGCCTCGCTAACAAGACGAGGAGACCGGATTCTCGCGATGCCGTCAAGGTGGTGAAGACAGCGTCGCAAGAGAACGGCTACCGCTGCCACGTGTTGACATGCGGGAGCAATAAACTGCTGGCGTCGGCGGTGGTGATGGCGATGAGGGCGATGATGGTGATGGTGATGCCGATGGTGAAAGTGATGATGATGATGACGATGGCGTCGTTGAGTTCGAGATTGACATTGAAGTTGGAGTGACGTTGGTCAGACTAATCGTTATAAGGTTGTCGTGCAGGGAAAGGGACGGGGGTCAGCGGGAAGACAGGGCAGGGAAGCAGAGGCGCGATGGTAAAGGCAGGCAACGGGAGACAAGGCAGGACGATGCATCTCACGAGCCAGGAGCCTGGAGGCGGAAGCTACCTACCCATTCAGTACCTTACAAGAGTAGGTAGGAAGTAGGGGATACTCTCCATAGGGCAACACCAGGCAACCTGGAAGGGAAAGAAGCGTGGGAAGGTACATCCATACCTTACCTCGCCTTCCTGTGTGTACGGAGTACTGGGCTACCTACGAGCTGCGGGCACACACGATCGTGGGTGGTTGCTCACCTCAAGGCTGCCAGGATTAAGAAGTCACGATGGAACTGGACCATGCCCCAAGCACGTGGAGATGCTGTTGCCAAGCGGGGGGTTGCGAACATGGACGCACAAGGTTGCCAGAGCTAAGGCTGCCAGGGTTGTCTTCGACCTCATATCTTTGAATTCATGTCATTGCTTCATACTGGCCGAAGCACCTACGTCTCATTCGCACTTTGTCGCATTTCAACGTTGCCATGGAGCATCCGGCCGTGTCTTCCGGTCTATGACGCAAAGTACTCAGCTCTGGTAGAGGCACAGCTAATGTTTGCGCCTGCACATCCAACTCCCTTTTCTTTTCGACAGGCTTGAGGCACGATGACGATTTTCCCATGTTCTGAGGGTGCAGCGCAAATGAATTTGTCAACGTTATGGTGTATCTTACAGTCACTTCTGTTTGCTCCATGCGTCCCTAGCCAAAGTGGCTGGTGTGGCGGTAACACTGCAATCGCAACTGGACATGTATCTCTTTTCCCCGAGATACCGCCAATAGAGGTCGCCAAAGCCGAGGGAGAGCCTTGCACCATGACATGATCATAATGTGTGAATGCGCACAGTTGCCTGAAGCACATTTGATTGCTGCGAATGTGATCCAATGTCCTCTTCCCTTTGAGCAGATATTCTGACCTGCCCATAACCATATCTGAGCCACTCTGCTGGTTCTCCATGCCCTGGCAGGCGCGCCAGTCGGGAACCCAGGCTGGCAAGCCAGGGCGGGGGCTTGTACAGTACATAGATGTTCACCGCGTTGACCGGGTCTGAACGGCACCATCCCACCATCCATCCCATGCCCGTTGGCCTGATTCTCAGGGTGTCAGGGTACCCGGCGGCAGCTATCCCATGGTCCTGGAGGAGAGAGACCCCAGCCGCAGTGAGGATAGCTTCTGCATTGCTTCGGGCTTGAATCCTAGCCAACCGGCCCGCCATGCTGTGCCGTGTCTAGGGAAGTTCCTAACACGAGCAAGCGCACTAGCTCATGTTGTCGGTATTCGCATGGAGCTACAGCCTATCCATACAGGCTACTCGATGCGAGCATAATGTCTCTTGGTAGTAAATTTGCTCCGAAATGGTGCAGATATCCCGTGCAAAGATTTGCTATCCGTATCCGTAGAGTCGAGTCTATGGGCATGGTAGGGGGGTGACGGGACGCGCCAAATGCCCCTTTAAGCCGGTTTGTGTTCTGGCCCACTTGGTGGTTCAAAGTCTTGGAGTATCCAGGCGCGCCAGGTACGGGAACGGATACAGGGACTGGGTTTGTCTGCAGGCCCAACGGTTCGTGAGCCGGTTCGAAAACTGACAGGAGATAGCGGGGCCAGCTAACATAGCGTGCTGCAACTTGGGAACGCCGCCCAAGACAATTACTTTTCGAACCTTGGCTTGCTTGAGTGCTTGGGTAGCAAACAACTCGTCTTTTTACTGCTGATCAATGAATCGAGTTCTGACTGATAGCAGCAGAGATGGCCCACTCGAGGACCAGAGCATGTTCTAAAGCGAAAAACTAGCGTCGCAATGCCGACGGAATTCGCCGCGCCGCGCAACTGGCTGCTAGTGTCATCCGGACAGCTTCTTGAAAACTCGATCCTCCAAGTAGGTCTACTAGAGAACGCCACTGCGAGATGCTGCTAGAATAAGTCTTTGCTAATAAAGATAGTCCAGCAAGTACGGCAAACCTAATTGCAGCTTCACAAAACCATAGGTACCAGCGAGAGGGCACCTCAGCACGCCCCGTGGCATATTGGGCACTTACCAAACTAGCGTTGGATGAAGGAAACCTGCTGCAAAGTCCTGGAGGCGGTGACGCTGGACCAATCAGCGTTGAGGCGAAGCCTTCTACCGACACGCGGCGGAAACCCAATAAGCGATCGGCCACGGCAGTATATGAATACGGGAGTGGGCGGCGCCAGTGACAGGCTGAGAAGTTTGGGGGCGGACTTCGAAATGTCCGTGAAAGCCATCGGGCCAGGAAGACGCACAGTCTCTGTCAGTGTTGCCAAGCGTTTCCGCTTCGATATTAGTGAAATTTGGTAGCCCAGTATTGGGTCGCTCATTCATATCGGCCACGCTCTCAATTGGGGCATAGCTAGGTTCGAGAAGCTGTGGGCGAGTCGTTGGGTGCGGGAAACGTTGCACTTCGGGTAAAGGTTCTTTCGTCACCCACGCATACGGGGTGCATCGTTGACTATTCTTCCTTCTCGGTCACGGCGAAATCAGTCTGGCTTCAGACGGTTCGACGCCAGGCCGACGTTTAAATTGGACGTACGTAATGCCGCCTGCGGCCTCCCAGTTTGATCAGTCGCTGATGCTGATGGGAGCTTGTGACCGATGTACGCATATTAATGTGCCAGGAACTCTGTTGCGGCGGCGGCGGCGGCGGCGGCGGTGTACGGGGTACATAGAAAGGCCGGAGATCGACTTTGTTCCAGCCACATTGCTTGAGCGCGTAACCGTCATCCCCTCGGTATCGGGGTTTTCTCTCTGTCTCGCACTAGGGTTGAAAAATGAGATGCCTCATGTGTCTGCCGTAGGCGAAGGCCTCCTGAAGAAACAGGGCTTCCTGGAAGTGGCTAGTGAATGAATGTCGATACTCCTCGAGGCGACAGAATGTGATGCCGGCAACAAAGACACATTGTCCCAACTTGGGATAGACTCTGCTGAGTTGCGTCGGGTCGGTCGCGATTGGTTTGGCTGTTTGTGCAAATTCCTCCATTTCCCTCCTGTGCCACCCATCAACGTCGAGGTACGTAGCTTCTCGTAACTGGTCTGTCTGCGTTTGATGGTTGCATCTGCATCAAGAGATGGGCAGTCAGTCCAGTGCACCTATTTTTGTGCCTCGAACGCTGGGATTTGAATCATCCTACCCAGCCCAAAGTCTGGCGTCCCGTTCTTCCTCAACAGCAGGGTCTATTTATAAGCTCCCGTATTGTGGTCTCTTCAGCACGGCGTCTGATACAATGCGAAAGAATGCGGAGGACAAAATCTCGTTTCTTGACATCAAAAATTGTGCAAATCTTTAGTTGGACGCTCTTCGTATCCCATATAACTTGTAGAAGATGGACCAAGAGTCCGATGGCAGTGAGTTGGAAGTTCGGACGGATGCCGCGCCGCGGAAGTCTCCCGGGTATTCCTCTATGGAAACCTGAATCCTGACGGGGCCCGAAGAGGGAGCGAAAGCGAAAGGGACGGGCGTCACCTCTGAAGACGATGGCGGAAGCCCAACGTCAAACACAATCGGAGCTGGGTCCTCGCCAGGCTCGACACGTTATTGGTGGTTTGTTGCAACCGAGCTCAATCTTGTGGCTCTGGCTAACCGTCTGCTTGCTTTTTCCCAACAGCGCCTCCAGCCCCCATATGCATGGCTGTTTTGGTTTCTCAATGCCAGAGGCGAGTTTGTCGACTCGTCCCAACCTCCATCGGGCTTCGTCGAATATAGTGTGATGTGACGATCGAAGTTTAGCGGAAAGGACGAACTGCGAAGACCAGATGCAGCAGGCAAGATACAGACGATGTGCGGGCTGGTGGAAATGGGTGGGGATGCGAATACTACCGAGTTACTCCGTAGTGTATGAGACTATGAGTAGGGTGCGCTCGTATGGAGGGTGCATATGCATGCAGACAACGTCCCTGCGTGCTCAATGTTTGTCAAAGATCCATCCAGTCAGGCCTTGACATTTGACTCAATGTCATCCGGTTGTCATGGAATGTATTCGACGGGAATCTTATGGCATGGCTGCAGCGCTGGCGTGCTTGATTTTTGGTACTTGAAGTTGGAAGTTGGGCGGTGGTGACAGGGTGAAAGACAAGGAGGCCCCATTGTGGCTGAGGACGAGGCTGGTGCGTTCCATGTTCGTATGGATGGAAGGCGCGCCTGTCAATCCATCTCGTCGCAAAATCGCGACTTCCTCTTCAGGTAGAAAGACCAGTTGCTATCTTCCTTCCAGATCCCATGTCCTGCCTAGAGAGGAAGGCAGGTGCGTCCTTTCCTTCTGAGGGTCAGGCAGGTAAGGTAAGGTATCTAAGCCTTAGATGATGCCTTAGGTTCGTAGCTTTCCTTCCATTCGTGACACTGCGTAATAGAGTAGCAACACCTCACTCAGATCCGGTCTCCCTACCTACACAGCACGCACTTGGAGGCGTTCAATGACGGGATACGCTTGACAGCCAACGCTTCTTACTGTGTAGATCCGAAAACACAGACAAAGACGGATATACCTACACAGTACACTGTCCTTCGACCCGGGGCTTTACACCTGGATGAACAGCCCTGCTCCCCCGGCTGTAGGTGTCTTGTATCCTCAACAGCTATGTCGCACAAGCAGTCTTCGACATCTCAACCCTATTGTGATTGTCGCTTTCGACATCAACATTGCCTGGTCATGTCGGAGAATTTGGCATCCCGCCTGGGACGACCCGTAGCGGTCCTTGTCGGAGCTATACCGAAGGAACGGTGGAATTACACTTAAGATTACCTATTACCACGATAATACTCTTCCGTCAAGCCGTCCACCAGAGCCTCGACACGACAACAAGCCACAGCCGAGACACGATTGTGGAAGCGATTCCTAGCATCATGAAGTCCATCTTTGGACCGCCAACGTTGCCAAAAGTCGCTGTGGTGGGGGTGTCGTTGGCGGTACAAAGAACGCTCAGTCGTCCGTACCTGACCTGCAATTTCTTCGTCTCTCTCCATCCAGCGCCACATAATGTCTTGGGCTCCGCCTTGGTGGTCGCTAAACAGTCGGTCAGGGAACTCCCTACCCGCGCCCCAGCCGTCTTCTCAACCCAGCCGAGTGGCGCGAAACCGGTCTTGCCACTGCGTCCTTGGGCTGGGGCCATTGGTACTGGCCAGGGGTGTTGCGGGCCAATTTGTGGGCACACTGGCACGCCTGGGAAGTGGGCGTGGCTGCTGCGGGTGGGCGTCCAAGGGGCGCCGTCCGGCATGGGCTACCCGTTTGGACGGTGAAGAGGGAGCACCAGGCTAGACCAGGGCCGGCTTCTCCAACGTCGCTGACAGCCCAGAGAAACCTGGCAAGCCTGGCAGACCCCGCGAAGCTTGAGCGAAACGGGTCTCACTTGACATTGTCAAGGCGAACGGGTTTCCTGAATATTGAGCTTAAACGGACTAGGTATCGGTCCTCATACGGTTGTTATTACGACGCGGACAAGTTTGATGTCCTCCCCGGCTCAGCCAGACACTTGGAATGAAGTCACCACCAGCCTAGAGAACGTGAAGGAACGCTCACCGACCTCCAACTCGACAAGCTGGGGGAGGATGATGACCCTGGTGGCTCTTAAGCTACCCTGAGCTCTAGGAGCTACCTGGTCGCGTACCCGCTCACAGGGCATACGGGCCTAGGAATCCCAGTATCCCAAGGGCCAACTCGAGCCTTGCGGGTATGCTGCAACATTTGGCAACGTCTAAACATTCTTTCAACGTCAATCTCCACGTTCGAGGCACTTGTGTATCCATTCCTGCCAGCGACCGCATCTGACGCTGACCGCAGTCTACGCAGTATGTCGACGGTGACATGTCAGGCAGCGGACTTCTGTCCCTCATCGTCTCGGGAATTGCAATTTCCTTGCTCATCATACCACGGCAACGCCGTCACAAGAAACATTGCAGGAAGAGCGAACACCACTAGCGTCGCGAGCGGGCGTTCGGATTACTACCCACACAGGTCACAGTGCCATCAAAGATCCACAGAAGCGCAACAATGCTCAGGGCCCGGCGGCCCCTCCAATCACGCCAGAGGCACTGCACCCCCTTGGACGCGGCACGTAGTCGATGACAAGTCCATCTATCCGTATGCTATCAGCATAACCTCGCCGACGCTGGCGCATTCCAGAAACATGGATATTCCCTTCATAATCATAGACAAAAGCTGTCAACGGCCACAACGTTTTTCTGCAACGCCATTCCTGCCACGTTAGTTGCCAGCCCAGCGGGAGTTCCACCAGTCAACGCCATAAAACGGCGGCCAGCCCGGCTAGCAACTATTGCCTCTTCCGGTATCGTCACGCTTCGGCTCAACGGTGCGGAGCAGCTCGTGGCGATGCTGTCGGCCAGCTCGACCTCTCCATATCGTCTCCAACTCACTGGACAGGATTTGTGCCGCTTGACGCGTGTGCCAGGATATGATGGGGCCCTAAGTGGAGCCTTTTATCGGCAAAGGAAGACCGGGGGCTTTTCATGGTCCTTCTAAATCTCATTTCGTCCCAGTGGACCTTCTGCACATTCGGAAACTTCGAGATGTGCAGCATGTCAGTGCGCACGCATTGCAGGCACCACAAGACTTGTCGGCACCAGGCTGCGCTGCACGGCCAGGGAGGTGGAGGACCGCAAGAATCAGGGGAGGGGACGAACCAGGACTGTCTGCCCTTGTCCCTCCCTCCCCCCTGTGTCTCTTTGCAGCCATTCACAAGACGACTGCAGTCCTCGTACCGAGCCATTCGTCCCTCCATGAATTGGTCGCGCGAATCCTTGCAAGCCACGCCGCTCCCAGACTCTAGAGCCAACCCTGAAAATTGACGACATTCGTTCGACGTCACGTTTGTCAAACCATTTGAGCCATGTACTCGACTCAAATTTGACTTCACGTCAAGTTCTCTAGATCCACAGACTCGGACAGCATTCGACTAACCATCGTATATCGAGCTGCTACGCATAGTCGTCTCGAAAGAAAAGGCGTATCAGGACATGTCTTCACAACGCCTCGTGACCTTTCGTCTTCAGCCACCACTATTTTATATTGCCCGACTGCCTGGATACAGCGAGGTCTTCGTGACGGCAAGTATTTTCTTGAGGAACAATGTCTAAACATGAATTTGTGCGCGCTCTTTTGACCCTGACGAACACGTGGTGCATGGTTAATAAACGATTTGTGTGAATATCCGCCAAAGTGCTTGTCAATCGACTCCGCCAAGCTGGCACAGCACGATATCTCCAAAGATCGCCCAGAAATAACTGTCTCGGCCGCTCATAGTAGCCAGCCTATCACTCAGGGCGAGCCTGTCAAGCTCCAGACGTTTTCATTCCGAAAAATACCGGTTGATAACTTGGAAATGGAATTCGATAGACCTCACATATAATGAAATATGATGAAATTTTGGGAAGCAAACGTAACTGGCCCTATGTCATAAAACCAGCCTCAAATGTGGTGAGTGAACGGGAGGCAGTATGGCGCCTTGAATATGTAGGTGCTCCTCTGTTGCTAGTAAGTATACCCTCGCAACGACTACGTCGGCGCCCTGAAACTATGGCAAATATCACGAGGATCTTGCATATGTCTCGGTCAACACTCTGTCTGCGAGACAGCCTCCATGAGATATTCCAGACATTCACCGATATCCTACGGGTGCCACATGCGTGTAATCCTTCACATGACACGATACGGACGTTGGCGGAGTGGCAACTCGCCTCAGGGAAAAGTCCATAACAGCCGTCCGAGACAATTCGACTGTTTGCGGAGTGTTTTGGTCCATTTGCTTTCTTATTTTGAACGTCTCGCGCGGGAGCTCGGAAGGGACGTGGCCAGATGGGTCCCGTCCCCCGTTTTCCTAATCGTTCATGCGATGCCATGTTGGCAAGCATACGGATACCCACGCCAGCCTCCGCGAGCATGCTCGCATGTCTCAAAAGCTCTTTGGGTGGGTAGGTTTTGGGACGTTGCGGCGGTTAACTTTGACGGAACCGACTCACCGCCTCCACTGGATCACGACTCAAGACTCGCCTTCACCGCCTGAAGGCGCTGCCGCGCGGCGTCTAGGCCGGTCTTTAAACCATCAACGCAGTGCGGGCGGTAAAGTTGGTTATGGAGATAATTTGTTGGAACGGATGATATATTGGCTTCACTTGAAGTGTTTACCGCGTGGCGAGCTTCGTCACGGTTCCAACGCGTTTGGAGCTTTTGGGATGGACATGAAAAGATTCATCACATGACTGAGCCTGCAAACCCTCGAGCATTGCAATTAGCTCTTACATAGACGTTAATTCAGAGTAGTAAAGTTGGTAACGTGAAGGCCGGCATCAAGAAGAGGCTATGTCTCCATGTTTCATTTATCGACTACTCTTGCGGCTGGCCTCACCTAGGGACTCTGCTGTCGAGATGTAAGACGGCTCAGATATTTACTGACATGGACATGAAAGTTGAAATTTGCATGAAGCAGACGCCTTATCTACATACATGGGATCTTCTCTGATACTAATAGTAGGTAGCATGGCATGAGAGCACGAATCTTCCACGAAGACGAACGATATGACCGCCCCTCGAGGCGTTCCACATCGACCCTCTACTGCAGCACTATGGCTGAACCAAATCAATGTCAAGTTCACGAAAGCCCAAACATAATAAGCCCTCACTGAACATGCTTCACTCTACCTCGCGCAACTAGCACTGCTCATATCGCCCCAATGCCCACAGAACGGTATGTTCCGTGACCTCAACTTGACGTTATCCACAATCTGAGCAGGGGAGGCGCGTAGCAGTGACAGTCCAGAGACATCGCGTCCAACTTCCTGGCCAGACCACCCCGGCCATACAAGATCCCACCAGCCGGTTGGATGGAACTCAACCACTCAAACCCGCCGCCATTCTCCGCCGTTGAAGAGCACCAGCAGGCTCCAGGCCCCCCCCCCCTGACACGTTTGCTTTCCTACCGAATGAGGTTTAGAAAGGGTGAGTCTTTGGAAAGATTGGAAAGCAAACCCGTGGATACTTCCCCGTTGCAACTTCCCCCTGCATCATGCAGTGGTATCGGCGACAGGCATCATTCCACTATATTTAGAGGCCATGCGAGCAGGTCCCAAGGTGCTCGACAGACAAAAGAGAGAGAGGAGAGCGCGAGGTTTCGACTCCGGTGCCGTTCAGGGAATAATATTTGGGGTGGTATTTTTCCCTTGGCATGGATATCCATGCCGGTTCTGGATTGAGGTCTCCAAAGCATGGTGCAAGGTTTAAGGCAAGCAAGCAAAAAAGCTGCCGTAAACCTGGCACAGCCTGAGCACTCCTCCTCACTCTCTCTTTCTCCAATTTCCACGTGGGGGCGCCTTTTTCCCCCTTGATCCTCTACGAATGCACCAGTATCCCCGACTGCTGTCTCGATAAAGCAAGTCTCCGGGATAAAGCTATTTTTTCATACCTGCCGCCGGGGCCTGGGTGTTCGAGAAGCGTCCCGCCGTTGGACCCGTTGGGGAATGACCCGGCACCAAATCTTGTGAAAGGGTTCATTGGAAGTGGAAACGGGCTTGGGTCCTCGTAAATACCCAGTGGTACCTTATTCGAGAAGACTCGAGGCAAGCCTATAGCTATAGGATGTAGGTACCTATAGCAGAGGGAACGCTATTGAAACCCTTGATGGGCAGAAAGCCATTTGTGTGGAACAGTCCCGGTTCGGGTAACCAGGACTGCAACCTCTTCGGCGTGGAGAGGGCGGCGCACGCGGTTGACAATGACACCTCGATGTGTGTCGATGCTACTCTACGTCAATGGAAGGACTGGAGGGAACATGCCCCCTCCATGCCGCCGTACGAAGCGGTGGAAGACCCGCGCTAGAGAAAGGAGAGAGCTCGAGTTGGAGAAACACAAGTGAACAGGGACCCGGGAGTCGGGGGGGAAAGATTGGGAAGAGGCGGCAGGGAGGTGGGAGGGAACTCTAAGGTGGGCACTGGGCAGGAAGTTTGCTGGGGGGCTTTGGAGAGTCAAAGGAGACATGGAAAAAAGGGGTCCTGGGGCCATTCTTGGGGCGAGGTTGAGGCCTGGTCGGCGGTGAGGTGACGATGACATGGGGGACGACGCGGTTCGTGGTTCTTTGGGCGGGGCGAAGCGACGCGTTTGGCAGGGTCCCTGGCAGGGTCGAGAGACGCGTCTGGGTTTTTGGGAGGTGAATACGGCGATTGTTTGCGAGATGCGAGTTGCAGTGGCCCATGGATTGGGTTGAGAAGA